TTTTTTTTTTTTTGCAGTACTAGGGATTGAGCCCAAGGCCTTCACATTAAACTACGTCCTTGTCACTGCCTTTTAAAACATTTTTTAGAATTTTGAGATAAATCACTGAGTTGCCAGTCTAGGCTTAACTTGTGACCCCCCCTCCCCAGCCTCCCAGAAGCCTGGGATTATAGGCACACACCACCATGCCCAGCTTGGAAATCTTTATTTTCTTGATACATAATGTAGGACCTTGATTTAAGTTGACAACAGTGTGGTCTCTTCAGAAAACTTTCTTGTGGATGTCTGGAAATTTGATAGGGGGATGGTAAAGGTAGGTTGTGAAATAGTAGTTACTTTCAAGGCTCTGTTACAGGTTCGAGGTACTGTTTAGCAGAGAACCATTACTATGAATCTTGATGCTAGTTAACATTATAGAATGTCACCTTATGTTATGGAGTATGTAAGGTACAGAGTATAGAAAAGTCTCATGGTATTAAGTTGCATGGTTTTTGGAAAGACTGTAAAAAAGTATGTATGTGATCAACAAATAATGGTCCTTGGAGGTTCACTGCAAATGAAACAAACTTGATCAGCTGTGTTTGTGCTGTTCCTTTTGACTGCGGTGTTGATCTAAAAGTAAGCTTGTGGTTTGTGAGAAAAAGAGTAACACTCTGAACAGCCTCTGAGGCAACAGAAAAAGCCAGAAATAGGAAGAGGTAAAGGGCACAGGCTAAGTATAAGAATGATACATTCCTTGGGAATGGTAGAAAACAAGTATGGATGACTATATAGTTACTGGGTCTTGACTTTTTTTTTATACTTTGAGAATTAAAGTGATTACCAGGAAATAAAAATTTATGAAAGAGGGGCCGGGGATTTAGCTCAGTGGTTTGGTGGCCTGCCTTGTAAGCACAAGGACCCGAGTTCAATTTCCGGTACCAAAAAAAAATAATTTTGTGAAAGAAATGATTTCTTCAGGTTTACTTGGAGAAAGAATTGACATAATCCTTTCTGAGTTATTTTAGTGTTCATAGAGGAGACTTTTAAGGTTTTAATAGTCTAGTTTGTTCAGCCAATGAATAATTATTATCATCTATCTCCCCAAATGTTTTCTTAGCTGACATTGAATACAAGTTAAGTGTGTAGTCATTTCTGCCCTTGGATGATAAATAAACATTGTGGCACATACAGATCATAACACATCTATGTGCTGAATAGTGGCAGTACAAAGGGACACATCAGCTCATTCTGAGGCCTAGGGAAACTGTGATAGGCTTTTACTCTGGAGTTCCTACTTTAGGCTTTAGCTAGTACTAAAAGAAAATGAGTAGGAATTTGTCAGATGCAGAAAGGGAAGAACAAAAATCCAAACAGGGTTTAGGAGGAGTGAAATAAATAACTTCAGAGAAGTGTCAGGTAGCTTTTGAAGCAATGAGACTTAAGAAGCCAAAGAAGAGGGAAGTGGCAGGACTCTGGAGTAGCAGGCCAAGCCAGGGTGAGATTGTGGGCAGCTGTTGTACATGCTCTGCGGGATAGAGGTCTTAGAAGTTTGAACTGGGAGATGATCAGATTGTGGGAATGAACTTGTTCTCACTCTAAGTAGTTCATTTCATTGTCAGGAATAGTAGCTCCTCTAAGTGTTCAAAAACATAGCAGACTTCAAATATTTTTATTTTTTCTTTACTAGGAATGGCAAGAATTACAACAAAGTATACAGAGAAAGGAGCGAGCTCTCCTGGAAACCAAATCAAAGATCACACATCCTGTATATAGTCTTTATTTTCCTGAGGTGAGTGACACTTGGCAGATAGTTCTTATTCCATTCACTTTCTTCTTGGATATTTCTCTTTGGACCCTTATTGTTCTGTAGTGTACACCATTATTAAATGTGGTCTAGGTTACCCCTTTTTAAAGGATATTGTGAATTACTTTTAGTGAATGTTTAAAGGGGGAATTGTTAACTTTTTAAGTATTTCTGTGGTTTCTTGTGCTTTTTGTGCTCACATTATTGAATATTGTGCTTAATAGTTATTTCTTATTAACAAGGCAGGGAATCCGATAAATGTATATTTCATCTTTGCTTGATTGGTAGGAATCTCACCCTCCACATTTAAATAGGATACAATCAATCTTAAATTTTCCTTCTGAGCATCAAGAATTGTTTTGAGCCCAGTAAAATTGCCCTGATCTGTAGGAATGGCTGTGGAACCAGCTATGTTTTGGGCTCTGAACAGATTTTAGTAAGAGCTGAGCATGACTGAGTTTCAAGTTCAGGAAAGAGAATTATAACACTGTTCACTCTCTTGTCTTTTTTTGTGATTGTGCCTCCTCCTTGCTAGTCTTGTTACTTGTCTTTCAAATTAGTTTGGGATTCCCTTGATAATTTTGTTTCTGAGGATGATTCTATCTATGGAACAAAAGTCAAGAACTGGTTGCCCCCAGTTCAGGGAAACTGTCCCACAGACTGTCTCATAGTTTACAGAGCTTATGTTTGACTGGTGATTTCATATATAAATCTTTCTGCCTGAGAATGTCAGTCCAGAGATGCTAGGGGCTGCTTAAGGCAAACTCCTAAATAATTTGGCTCTCCTAGCAATAAGTGTCTCTGCACAGAGTTGTTCTGACTTGGAGGGAAGTCTGCCTAGGATTCCGTCTTAATGCACTCTCTGATCTTCTGGCAAGTCCGGAGCTTTGGCCCATCTGTTAGGGGCATTTTTCCCACTGCAGATGTAGTCTGCCAACATGAAGCATCCTGAAATCAAGCAAATAAATTCCACTCATTAACTGGCTTAAAAAGTGCTGTGGGGTGCTGAGGGCTGTATAACTTACCCATATAATATACCAACAGTTTTATTTTAGACCCTGCTTAGTTGATAAGTGAAATATTATTCACTCCCTTAGAATATTTTATCAGAAAAAGCATCTGTTTTTTCCTGCTATAATCTTCATCTATATGGTAAATGTCTTATCATATGACTTATAAAATTTATTTAGGATTTTTTTGATATCTTACCTGTCTGCCTTTCCTTGTATCTAACTACTCATTTAATATTAATTGGCTTATACAGTATGGAAACTCATTTATTATGAGTAACACATTAAAAATGGTTGGGAATCTCATACAATAGAAAAACAAGTTTTTTACAAGTGCCAAATAACTCATACAACATATGTTCCAATTTTTTAAGATAGGCATCAAAGAATGTAGGCACGGATGCAGTACTCTTGGCATAACTGTCATTTAATGCACTTAATGTGTGAACATTCTGATATATACTATTATTATCTCAGTTCATCTTCACAGTGTGGCCAGATGTAGGCATGCGTCATTTAATGGAGAAGGAAAGCTGTATTTATCATTCATTCAGTTCTTTTATATTTATATTTTATATTCAATTCTTATATTCTTTTTGGGGTGGGGTATCACTTTGTTGCCCAGACTGACCTTGAACTTGTGATCCTTCCATCTCAGCTTCCTGAGTAGCTGGGATTACAAGCATTTGCCCTGTGCCCAGCCAGAATACTAGATACAGAGAGGTAAAATCACACAGATTTGTGTGGCTTTAGAGCAAGTATTGGCAGTATACAACCTCCAGGCACAATACAGAAATTGTGCCAGTTTCACAAAATGAGACTTTCTTATAGAACACAGCCCTGTTCATTTCAGGCTGAAACAGCTATATAGCTGTAGCTACTCGAGAGACTCTTTGACCTACAAAGTCCAGATATTAACATTCCATTTCGAGATCATTGTGTTGTTACACTCTTTGTGTGTGCAAAACAGATATATTTATAAATATCCCTACTATGGTTATCCTAACCCTCAGGTTAAGCAAAGTTTAATTTTCTTGTTAGTTGCTGCTCATATCATCATGCACTTAAGATTTATTGCTAGACTTATTAACCTTGCAATGCTTTTTGTATCTTCCTGTATTTAAACAGAAGAGCTTTCAGTTAAATTTGTTGTAGCATTTTGAAAAAGATAATAAACCATTTCTTATGGTTAAAATAAAATAGTGCAACAGGTTTGATACAAAGACATTTTCCCAAGGATAAAGTTTCATTAGGTTAAATTAATATTTAGAATATTCTAGTTTACTTTTAACTTCAAAACATCGCTCTTGAAATTCTTTTTTTAAACCACCTTAGAAAGATATCTTCTCTACCTCATTCTTAAAAGAAGTGATACTAAGCAGATGTCTGAACAATTACTGACATGAGCTCTGGTGGCTGTTGAGCACCTTGAGGTCTGTTGCTTCCAGATTGCTGAAAGGGTTGGCCTTCTACATGTTTTTTTTTTTTTTTTTCGAAAATACTTTTCTGCCACTTTTTTTGTTTCACTATGCTAGCATTGTGCATTCTAGTGGCAGTTACTTTACCCCACTCTTTTTCTGTTTCTGGTCTTTTTGAAGTTCATCTAGAAATGCCAACCTTATTAAAATGTGCAGGGGAAAGATATACATAGACCTTTAGAATGTAAGACCCTTGAAGGAAGATAAAATCTTTTAATGTATTGAATTTTTTGACTGCCCAAGTCCCTTCCACTCCTATTTTGTGACTTTTGCTTATTACTAGGTAAAATTTCTAAGATTATGTGCTGTATCAGCAGTCCCCAACATTTTTGGCACTAGGGACTGGTTTCATGAAAGTAGCTTTTTTCTGGATGGGTGAGGTGGGGTGAGGATGGGTGGCTTCAGGATGATTCAAACACATTACATTCATTATTATACAACTTACCGTGATGCAGAATCAGTGAGAGCCCTGAGCTTGTTTTCCTACACCTGGACAGTACAGTCTAGGGTTGATGGGAGACAGTGTTTCCCAAAGTGTGTTGCTTATGTCCAGTCTACTCCATAATCTCATTTAATTGTTGTCAGTACAGAAAGCCATGCTTCATAAAGATAAGATACTGGAAAATAGAAGAGGCTCTTCATTGCTTTTGTTTTGGGGGGGGGCAATGTCAGGATACTCTGTCTTGATTTTAATCCAAAACATACGGAGAGTTGAAGTTGTCTCTGACATACTTTCAAGGCCACCATCATTTGTAATCTCAAGCAGTTGATCTCTTCTAGCATGGACACAATCTGTTTACCTGGCCTATTCACAAATGGGTCATGGATCATTTTTTTCTCAGTTGGGGATCTTTTGTGGTTGGGAGGTAATATTCATACTCTCCCTAAATTAAGTTTTTTTGGGGTGGGTGCGGGGGATCGAACTTGGGTCCTTGCCCTTGCGAGTCAGGTGGTGGCACCACTGAGCTAAACCCGTGCAGCCCTGAGATAATCATGTTCCAACTGGGAGAAAGGAGGCCCTGGCTCGGTCTCTTTCAAAATCTGCTGTTTGAAACATGTCAAAAATTCCATTGTATACTTGTCACCCTGTATCAGTTTGGCTTTGAATGTAGCCTCTTTATTTGCTGGCTTGAACACAGTTGTTCTCCCTTGAAGTGACAGTGTGAGTTTGTTTTGCAGATTGAATGTCACACAAATAAACAACTTTTTCATCCCATTCTGTATCACTAAAAAGTGCTTCCAGTGATGGCTGTTTTTCTAAAAGATCTCTGGAGTGACTTTGTAACTCAAAAACTCTGGGGCCTGGGATTTAGCTCTGTGGTGCCTTTGCCTGCCTCGACAGTTCAAGGTCCTGAGTTTGATCTCTGTTCATCTCACAGAGCTACATGAAGAAGTGTGAGTTAAGAGCATGTACCTTAGTGTAGTTCATAAATTTAATCACATTCTGCAAAACATTGTTAAGTTGAGGTGATATTTTTTGGTTAGCCAGCATTAGGGTTAGGTTTAGGTATAGGGTTAGGCTTTCTAAAGGTAGATCACTGGCCAGAGTTTTTGAGGTACAAGAACCACTCCAGAGAAGGGCTGTAAATACAAATGAGGCTTAGTTTGTTTATCTGCTTATAATCTCTTGCTGCTTCATGGCCTGGGTTTGGGGACCCCTGTTCTCTATGATATTGTGATAAATTGTGTTATTTTCTATTTTAGAATGTCTTGTCATTTAAGGTAACTGGGTTTTAATACACAGAGCCATGAATAGTCTTTAAAGAATCGTTGAAATACCCAAAGTTTCATGCAAAATTATTTTGGAGAGCAAGAACTAGATATACAAATGGTTAAGATCAGATTATTCAGTATATATTTATTGAACCCAGGTACTGTGTCAGTGCTGAGGATATAGCAGTGCACTAAATAAAGATGGTTTCTGTAAAATAAAACAAGCAAAAACTGTTTCTCTAGCTCTATTTGTACTTTTTTTTTTTTTGCCTTCCAGGAAAAACAAGAGTGGTGGTGGCTTTATATTGCAGACAGGAAGGAACAGACATTAATATCTATGCCATATCATGTGTGCACACTAAAAGAAACGGAGGAGGTAATTACTCAGCATATCTGTTTTTAATAGTATATAGCATCATGTTGCTTTGTAATATCTTTTTTAAAATAATCACTTTATCAAATTTGGTTTATTGCATTCTATTTTTTTATGACACATTTTTAAACTGTTCTCTTATGTTGGGCGATGTGCTCATAGTAAATTTTTAAAGAATTGTTAAAGGAAGACAGCTTGATCAGTCTTAAAAACTCATCAGTGTGCTTTTGGCAATTTTCATTTCTACCATCAATATCATGTACCTTTTTTTCCTCCTTTCCAGGATGTAATGATGTTTTATAAAAAATTGTGATTATCTTCATTAAATTAATGTTAAGTATTATGTTTTGTTTTTTAAATCTAAGAAAGTTACATTTTGATGACCATATTTTTTTTTTGACCTACAGGAACTGCATTTTGTTTTCTTTTTTTTTTTTCAATCTTGATTTCCTTTATGTGTTATCTTTTCTGGAAAAATTTTGTCATGCTGGACTTAGATAAGAGTAAGGCTTTTGAATTTGAAGATAGTTCTAAATGTTGATTTTTAGTACAAAAACTTTATAATGAAGTGGTAAAATATGTGCACTAGTTTGGTATAACACTTAGAGGTAGAGCCAACTTCAGTATTTGAAGCAGTTTTATTTTTTTAAGTTAAAGTTTTCTTGTTTTTAAATAGGTAGTGCATTCACCTAAAAATTTCGGAGGATATAAAAGTACATAAAGTGAAATATTTTATGTTTATATTTCCTAGTCACCCTTTCCTCTCCATGGAGGTCATCAGTGTTATCAAATTTTTCAGTGTTAGTCATGAGATATTGTATATAAATTCTAAGTAAATACATACGTTGATATTTTCCTCTAAATTTTACAAAAAAGGTAGTATATACTTTGTTTGGCACTTTGTCTTTTAATAATAGACATGTATTTCCTTTTCCTTCATAAGCACTGTTATTTCACTCATGAAATTTCACATCAGTAAGGTACTATATCCAGATAAACAATTTATTTTCGGATTTCTTCAAATACTCCTCTGATATTCATTGTCAAGGATCACACTTTGTATTTTGTTAATCCTCTGCTTTTAATCTTTCACACCTTTGGTATTTTTCAAGAATGTATGCAAGATATTTTGTAGACTGTCACCTAATGTGAATTTGCCCCATTGGTTACTCATTATGTCCATCTTAAATATTTTTGTATGCACACTACATTGGTGATTACATAGCATATCACATCACACCATGTTATCTCAATCTGCTCCACATCATTGATACTAAAAATACCTCCTTCCTCATCTGCGGGTACTGTTTCTTCCACGGTCTTCTGCCCAGTCATTTTAGCGTACATTCATTGATAATTCTTGTCTAAATCAATTTTTAACTCATTGTATTCATTGTTTAAATTTTCTGTTTAAGAGTAAATCCAGATACCTTCAGTGTGTTCAAGTTATTTTTCTTTTTGTGACCATTGTTCATTTTTATTGAGTCCTTTAAATTAGTTTGGGTTTTATTTTGTTTTGTTTTTTTAAATGTGAAGAAATCAGCCCTTTGTAATACTGGTTTTAAATATATGTCCCCAGTTTGTTTCCTAGTGTGAAGGTTTTTAACAAGCAGAAATAGGGCAGCTATGGCTCACTGATAGAATTCTCAGTACCACAAATAGGGAGAAGGGGGATGGAAATATAAACATTTATCTTTTTTATTCATTTCCTTTTTTTTTACAGTGTGATTTAAAAGTTTTCTTTTATAGCATTCAGCTTTGTTAGAAAGGCCCAAAATTTAAGATTCTCTCATGATTATTTTTTATTATTTAAATGGCCTCTTATAAAATTTTAAAGATTGAAAGACAGCAAATCACTTGTGCATCCAAATGTCATTTTTAAAATGTATTCTTCACTCAAGTGGAAGTAAAACTTCTAAGAGTTTGTTACTGTTTTATTATACTTGAAGTTTATGATTTGTTGGGAAATTAAAATACCTTCTTGACCTCTGAAAGCATTGGATGTTTATCCTAGAAATAAAATTTGGCGGAAATTGTCTCCTGTTCAGTGAAGTGTTATTATTGTATTAATTCAAGTCTTTTAGTTATATTTTATACTGTATTTAATTTCTTCAAGTTGTCTGGGTGATGGTCAACATACAACTTGCGTGGTTTACTTTTTTTGTTTTGCTTTGTTTTGTTTTTTTTTGGTTTTTGAGACAGGGTCTCACTATGTAGTTGAGACCGACCTGGAACTCACTATGTAGCCCAGGCTGGTCTCAAACTCAAAGAGTGATCCTCCTGCCTCAGCCTCCCGAGTGCTGGGATTACAGGCGTGCGCCACCACACCTGGCTGCAGTGGTTTACTTTATTCTTTGTTGAATTGTGGAAATACAGATTAACCCCATAAATTATTCTTAATTTGGTTTACTTTTTACAGTGTCACATACATTTGTTGTTTGGATTCTGTAACATTCTTAGGACTTGGTATATCATTTGAATAAACGTTTAAGTACTTTGGTCAAATTTTAAGTGTATACCATTATTTCTGTCACAAAATACAGATTTTCAAATGCTGATTTTTATCCTCTAGGTAGAACTAAAATTTCCTGCACCTGGCAAGCCTGGAAACTATCAGTATACAGTGTTTTTGAGATCAGACTCCTATATGGGTTTGGATCAGATTAAACCACTAAAGGTAAGAAGAAGGACTTTTCAGTTGATATAGTAACCTGTTTGAGAAGTTGAGTAAGTGTAAGAAGCATTTCTGGTTTTTTAATGCAGAAAAATGGAAGGAAAAACAAATCATCTCTTTTTTAAATAATAAATTTAAGTTATTGAGTTAGATTTTAAGGCATATAAAACCCTTGACTAGCCAGGCATTGTGGCACATACCACATACCATTGTAGTCCCAGCACTTGGAAGGCCGAGGCAGGAGAGTTTGAGGGCAGCCTGGGCTCCACAAGTGAGTTCAAAGGCACTGAAAGCCTGTCTTTAAAAAAAAAAAAGTTACATAGATTTTTACCACAGGTTCTATTGGAGGAATTTATTGAAATAATAATAAATATTATTCTTTTGAAATGTTTATTAATTTCTGAAATGAATTTTTTAATCATCTTAGAACGTACATTTTCTATTGTTGTTTGAAGCACTTTCCTATCAGTGTTTACCATTTCACTTGAGCTTTTTATAAAAGACATTGTATTATATTTGTAAGCTTGTGCTAAAGTATTGCTGCACTGTAAAGAATAAGGGGGCCAGTGAAAACAAATCTCTTTTTTTTCCCATTACATTTCCATATTTCTTTTGTTGGCTATAGAACTTTACTTCACAAGTCCAGAGGCTACAAAATGTCTCTTTCTTTTCTTTCTTTCTGTTTTTTTTGGGGTGTACTGGGGATCGAACTTGTGACCTTGCACTTGGGAGGCAGGCGGCGGAACCACTGAGCCAAATCCCCAGCTCCAAAATATCTTTTGAAAATCTTACTTGAGCATTTCTTCCTTCAGCAGACAACTTCTGTTAAAATTCTTGATTAAGAATCACAGTCTTCTGTGCTGCAGAAATACAGGCACAAGTAGTATAAGGTCTATGAAGTTAAGGTATCAAATTATATTAGAAATTTAACTACATTCATATATTAGCAGATTCTCTTGTAGAATGAAGCATCTATTCTATTCTAAATGACTGTTGCATTTAAAGTTGCATTTTTAGAGAAAATTGATTTCTTTATGATTGTTGCAGTCAAAGAAAAGCTTTTTTAACTAGATGTTATTCTGTTATTCCTCCCTAAATACCTAGTGTCTGTATTTAATTTTCTTTGTAGTTGGAAGTTCATGAGGCTAAGCCCGTGCCAGAAAACCACCCGCAATGGGATACAGCAATAGAGGGTGATGAAGACCAGGAAGACAGCGAGGGCTTCGAAGACAGCTTTGAGGAAGAAGAAGAGGAAGAGGAAGATGGTGACTAAGCAGTACCGTGAGGAGACCACAGCGTTTGCACATATTGGCAGGCGTTAGTCGTTTTGGAAGTGTGTAATAAACCAGAAACAGTACAGAAGTGATGTCGAAGGAAGTGTTAGTTTCTTTACTAGAAATGGGTGCATAAAACAGGCATTTGGTGGTGCCTTGGTACAATCTGAAAAAAGCTTAAGGCTTATCAAAGCCTGTCTCGTGTGGGATGGTACATTTATTTCATCTGCAAATGATAATAAATTCTTTGTTATTCTAACTGTCCAGAAGTGTGGGCTGTGTATTATCTGATCAGTTTATGGTCCCAGTAAAAAGTTAGGTACATGAAAAACAATCTATAATTGAGCAACTTTTCTTTGTTCAGCTTTAGTTTTAGTAAACATTAAAGTATGGTGAAAATCACAATTGTGTTTTAAATAACATCTGCTCATTTTTCTTCTCTTGATAAGCTCGGTTACTCATTTGTTGATATTTTTCAGGTGATGAGACAGCTCCATACATAAAATGAAGCCTTTTATTTTCACCTATGTTGGTCGTTAGTTGACATTCTGTCACATTCCACATAATGTAGAGGGGTACATTTTGGGATTTTCCTTTCTTAATTGCCCAGTTGTCAGACAGATTATAAAAATGGCTTTTAATGGCTTAAAACAGTTTTAAGCCGCTCTCTTAGCAGATCAGTGTGGCATCTTATTATTTTGATAAGCTGTAGGTCTAAAATGATTATGGGACCATATGTTCTCTGACGTTGATGGTTTATGTTACTAAACCTTTTTTTAAAAGGTTCACTATTAAAGCTGAACAACACTCTTAGCTTTTAACCTACCTATCAGAAGCCTTTTAAGGAAAATAAATACAACACGCAAAGGAGGCATTTTTTGTATTCATTTTGAACTCCTGTCAATAAAATAGAAGTTTGACTCATTTTATCTTTGTAATTGTGTGTTTTTACTCCCAGGGAAAGGACATAAATAGGATTGCCGATTCTTTTATTTCCCGACTAATAAGTACAGTGGTGCCTCATTTCACAAATGTTTTTGTTCTCAAACTCCACACTGAATGACAAATACGACAGAACAAACTTAAGTTCATGAACTGAGGCATCACTGTAACACTATACATCAGTGCTGAAGTGACTGTCTCTGCGTACTGTAGGAAAACCCATGAGTGAGAGATTTCTCCCCTCGTACAACAACCAGAAGGGTGATGCGTAATATAAAGAGTAGAAATGGTGTGCATAAATCACTGAGGAATGAGGAGTATTATTACAAGATGTGGAGGAAACGTAAGTTCGACTTCTTACAATCTTACCAAATGTCTACAGCGTGAAGTACTGTTGGAATACTCACTAGTGACCTTATTTATTTAAAAGGTTGCTGTTCTCCCTGCAGAATTACCATTGGTATTTTGTTATTACAGTTACTAGAAATAAAATTTGGAAATTGCCAAAAATGTGAATTTTGTGGGGGGTTCAAGTTTAGGGTATAATACTTCCCATCTAGTGGTCGCCAGTTTGGTAAGAATGTCTCTTGGCAGGCAGGAGGCTGTGCCACTGGGTGTGTTTTGTTTTATAAGGGGGTGGGTTTGCTTTCACATCCTATTATTGAAATAATCCAACTATTGAAAGCTCTGAAGCTTTCAGTAGCAGTCACAGCACCCTAGCCATGTCAGTGTGACAGGGCACAAGCCACCTTGTGCCAAGTGAAGGAGAGACAGGTTAGAGAAGAAGCGTGGCATGAAGCCAGGGAAACAGCTAACAAGATACTGTGTAGTATTTGCATTTCCTAGTTTTCTTGAAACATAGTTTTCAAGAAAAGTATTTCTTCTCTAGTGGCTGTTTTGCTTTAAGGACTGTATAAAGTTTATTAAAGCAACTAGCTTCTTCCTGGGTTTAAAATTCTCTGAAAAGGAAAATTTCACAACCTAGTAACTCACCGCAGTCCTTACAGAACAGCATCACCTTGTCATTAGAAGGTCGAAGCAGTCTGTTTTCTCTCACCCATTATGTGATGTGTATGAACATCCATCCCCTGGCCCCAAAAAGAAACTTCCTCTGTTGAGTACCTCAGGTGACCTCTTTCTGTATTGCAAAGTGAAAGAACTTAACATGGTTCTCGTATCTCTACTAGGTCAACAAACTCCACATCCCTTCTTATTTTCTCTGGAATGAGCCTAATTACCTTAGTTTGCATTTAATCAAATGGAAACCGTGAAGTTTTATTTTTCTATCAAAAAATCAGTGACGTTTTGTCCACAGAATAAATGAGTATATCGACAGTGCAGTGTGTATACAAAGTAAAGTAGGTGATTTATGAAGTTTTTAAGTTGTATAATACTTATCTCTTTAAATTGGCTAATTACCTATTAAAACAAAATGCAGCCTTCCATGAGACTTTTGTTACCACAATCGAAACCATGACAGGTATGAGTGTTGCATTTCCCACGTGGAGGTCTCAATTTCGTGTCTCTAATTTTTTTTAATTTGTGAGCGTTTGTAATTGACCGTACTAATGAGGGTTTCTGTATAGAACAATACTTTGTACCCTGCTCTGTCCCATCGTGCTGAGCAGCTGGCCTGGTCCCCCGGAGGCGGGAGGCAGGAGCGCAGCTGCAGTAGCTGCCTGGGAAAGGGGCGAGGAAGAGGATGCAGAGGGGCTGAGCATGTTATTCTTGACCACAGCCTTTGTTCACTTACTTGATTCAGCCAGTTCAACCCTCATACTGGAGGGTGTTTTGTTTTGTTTTTTAACAGTTCCTATTTCAAATGAAGTCCAATACCTTATATTTTTTTTAAGGCAGTCACTTACCTTATTTACTAAATTTCTGTGTGCACAGCTCTGAGACTAGCGGGTCTGTAAAGATAAAATTCTTGTTAAAAGCTCTGGCAGTCCAGCAGATGAGTGGCAGTCCATTTCTGTCCATTGACCCGGGCTGGTAGCTACTGTGTGACGTTCCCCCACCCCCAGTCTCTGCACTTCAGGCTAGGGCTTTGTTTTAGGGACTTGCTATTTAGTTTATTGCCATCCCCTTCATATAGGAAAAATCTTACTCTTTGTTATGCTTCCTTAAAGCATTTTTTCCCTCGTATTCTGAGTCAACTTCATGAAATACTGTTTAGTATGCCTTAAAGTGAAGCAAGACACTTAGCAGCTGCATAGTGATTCGTCCAGATATGTCTCAAGAGGTGAGCACCAAGCATCGTTCCACATTTAAACCTAACACTAGGGTTATATCGTGAAACTCACAGATTGGGTCATGTACATTTTCCTGTTCCTAAGCTAAAGACCTAATTAACAGCAGTCCTTGGCACACTTCAGGGCTCTGGTTTCAGGAGGGGGTGTGTGCATCCCGGGAGTATGCAGATGATGAATCCAATGAGAAAATGTTAAAATGATTATTTGTATTTAATCTCATCCTTTTAAATTTCTATTTTTATGTGTTTTATAATGTACATAATATATTGTACAGTTGTACAGTTCTATAATTTATAAATAAATACATTTATTGGTGCATTATATTTTTTTCTGAATTGGGTGCATGATCAGAAACATTTGGACACCAAGGTAAAGAGAAAGATTGGGCTTTTGGATACAAGTATACTCTACTGGGATTTAGCTCAGTGGTTCCGCCACCTGACTCCCAAGCGCAAGGACCCGAGTTCTACCTCCCAAACAAAAACAAAAAACAAACTATGGGAGGCAAAGTTGACTTTCACTGGGTCTAGCAGTACTGATGGCCCCAAGACTAGCACTGTGCGGCTAAGATGAAGCTGAGTAGGTTTGCTGGCGTGGGTAATGGAATGGAAGTGCTGGGGGCTGTTGGTTAGGTCTGAACAAAGGCTCCAACTCATTGGGCCGAGTAATCAGTAGCCAGCTCTCCAAGTTTGGGGCGAGTGAGGACTCTGCTTACCAGCAACCATTTTCTCATCAGTCTGTTAGCCTCCTGCACAGAGGGAGCAGTGTTCCTCTTACCTTCTGGACACCTGAGGTCACCACATTAAAATCCACTTATCTCCCTGTGTTTTCCAGCTTGGTTCCAGTAGAGGGCAGTAGAACTTATTTATTTATACAAAGAATGGTTTAGCAAGGGACATTCTATGTACACTTTAGAATTACTCCCCCAAAATTGTCTTTCTTACATGAGTACTTTAATACATCAAGTATACTTCTCAGTTTTCTGTCTGGGAACATTAAGTCCCTTTGCAACAGAATCTAGGAGACAATCTATTACTCATTGTGCTAGAACTGTATTACAGTGTTTGACAGAAATGAGCAGCCAGGGCACAAATTCTTTCACAGCCATGGTCAGTGTGAGCTGTGAAGGGCCTGAGTTTTTTTTTTGTTTTTTGTTTTTGGTTTTTGTTTACTCTAATGCAAGCAGACAAGGGCCCGCTGTCATGGAGGCTGACTCTGGTTGGCACTGCAGGCTCCATGAACCTCTTGTACCCAGAGCTCTGTGGTCCAAATTCAGCGCAGGTGACGTGGGCTTGTGCTGGTGGCTGCCGCACGTACAGTGGATTTGTATCGCAGCTGAGAAACAGCTTGGGAAGCTTCATCTTTTAAAGGGTCTGCAAGCAAACTTCAATCTTTATCCCTGATAGAGAACTTTACCTTCTTCCCGGGAGGGGGAAACCTGCCTTCCAAGGCTGTTACTAAATATATTTGCTGAGATGCCTCTGCTCAGGGTGTATAGGCATGCGAGAAAACCAGGAAAGGTGGTCTCTCTGCCATGGGAATTCACTAGATACAAAGATACAAAGTACCTCAGATTGCAAAGGCACAGAGCACTTAAACTTCCAAAGGGAATGAGTTCTGCTTACTGACAGGACCTATGAGGCCGTCTTCTCTTGAGAATAATGCACATCTAAGCTTCTTACAAATGTTTTAATGTAAAGATACTTTAGTGTTACAACTGAAGGTAGTTTACTGACCTTTGCATCAACTAAAAGATAACCAGAACCTTCCAAGTTGACTCCAGTATGTTGTAATGGTACCTGTTGTACTTCGTAACCATAAAGATTTTGATGATTGCCTTCCACCCTTCTCTGACACCCTCTGTGCAACAAACAAAACCCACATTCTCCTCTTCCAGACAGACTCAGTGTTTGCTTGTAGGTAGCTGTCATTCCTTTGGTGATGTCCTTTTCCAAATAGGCTGCCCAAGCCCAGGGAGCCATTAGACTTCTTTTGGGTGATGACAACCTCTGAGACATTATTCTCCAGTGTTCCCCAGTTACTCTGAAGGAAGATTTTTTTTTTTAACTAAAAAGTTATTTAGAGATACTGCTAATGAGTAAGGGAGCTAAAGTTGCCAACAGGCATTTTGACCAAACAAGGAATATAACTAAGATGTAGTGAGAGAATTTAAATCTGATGTTGAACCAGCTCTGAAGATTACCTTCTGATTACCTTCTGGACACCAGAACTATTACTGGGAGACAGCCAGTAATAGTACTGGTGTAACCATGGCCTCCCTCATTTGTATGCATCAGTCTGCATCTGTCTGTTAAATGAGTCTACAGTCACATCCGAAGTTGCTCTAGCTTTTTAATTTCTTCATTCTCTGCCACATTCTTGAGACTCCAGTCACTGATTACGCTCTCTCACCTTCCCAATTCCTCCAAACGTTGCCAGTTCCTCTGCTAGAGAGAGAGAGGTGAGGTGGTGCCCTGTGCTGGCGGGACGAGAGGCAGCCCTTTGAAGTCACTCAGCAGGGCTGCTCCCAACAGCCAGCTCCTGCTTCAGGACTTGCAGTCACTTTTTCCCACGATCCCCAGGAGAGCTCCCCCCACCTACCGACCCCTACTCACAAAACCCGATCCGGGTCTATTATCATGGAAATGACAGGGATTAATGTGATTATCAGCCATGCTTTCGAGGAGGGTGATGAAACAGTAGTGTTATGATCCACAGCGTCATTTCTTT